TCAATGAGAAAGGACATTAATGCCAGGAAACAGAGAGAATTTATCTTCCTGGTGTTTCAAGGGCTCTTAGAAATAAAAGAAAATCTGCAGTATCTGTAAGGGTGAGTACACAGACACAGAGATTTTAAATAATTAAGAATTAGATTTTGAAATAGATTTTGAATACAAATAAAATTACCAATTTTATGAAACAATTCTGCAAAACCATGTGGTGAAACACATGGAATAATGAGTTGATTGCGTAGATCAGAACGGAGATGGCCCAGCAAGAATGGGAAGTTCCACAAATACCCAGTGCAACAAATACTTAAAGGTATTTGGTAAAATACCTCTAACCTCTGTTAAGCTATGGGTATTGTTTTGACCAAAAAACCTGATTCTCACCCATGTTTGTGAACCCTTTTTATTAATCCAGTGAACAATGCTGAATATATGCACAAATATAAAACTTTGTGTAAAAATTAATCACAAAGATCATCCAGGTATATGGGAGGCACTAAATATTTGGGGCAAACAATAAAGTTCAAATTCAGTAGAATTCTCAACTCCATCTTAGTGCCATCTACATTCTGCATAATACTTCAGTGTTTGCTTGAGTCAGACTGAATTCAATGGGATTAGATAGTAAGTTCCAACATCTTGCTGAATCAGAACAGAGGTTTTAATGCAAAGATAAATATTTAATTTATTATAATGAGGTTCTTAATAAGCAGAAAAGAAAGGAAAGGTACTAACTGCAGAAATCAGATTTCAAACTGAGGAGCAGATTTGCAAGTCTTGCCATGGGCTTCACTCAGAATATCATCATTAAAACTTGTTATAATGTAAGGTCATTTAGCAAGCATTTCAGCCTTTAGCATTGTGTGCATGTAACAGCATTTATCCTTACAAATAAGCTAAGAGGAGAAGGCTCTGCAGAGACCTCATAGCGGCCTTCCAGTACCTGAAGGGGCTGCAGGAAAGCTGGGGAGGGGCTTTTTACAAGGACATGTAGTGAGAGGACAAGGGTAATGATTTTGAGCTGGAAATGGGTGGATTGAGGTTGGATATCAGGAAGAAATTCTTTAGTGTGAGGGTGATGAGTCACTGGAACAGATTGCTCAGGGAAGTTGTGGATGACCCTTTCGGGGAAGTGTTCAAGGAGGGTTGGAACTTGGTGATCTTCAAGGTCCCTTCCAAACCTAGCCATTCAAAGTAAAGCAAAGTAAATATAGCTTTAAGCGCTTATGTGAGAGGTTCACAGCAGACCTGCACCTATCTTGGGATAAGTACTTGTTTTATCTATAGATAACTGGTTTTCATATATGTTTCCAGATTATAGTAATGGAAACCAAGTTGTCAATATGCATGTATATGTGCTGAGGGCACATCTCAGTACTTTTCGGATGCTGGTTCTCACCTACACAAGCAGCTGCCAAAACCATTGTTCAGAGTTGGTGAAAGTTAAATGTCCTAAGCCAGCCACAGTGCACAGAGAGCTAGGCATAACCTCACCTGACTTAAGTACACTTGCTAACTCCTTATTTAAAACAGGTACAGGGAATATATGCACATTTGGTAGTGCCCAACTGATATTTCAGGATCCTGGCTAGGGTTATATGGCTGGTCATCAGAAATTACTTGATTTGACTTCTGATCCAGAGATCTGAATACTGGTATTACTGAGGTAAAGAACATGTAAGGAATGATACAGAAGCAGGTCCTTTTAATATTAGACACTTCAATGCCCAGTGTTTTTTTCATTATTTCAATCTGCTTCTCTATGCTACAAAAAGGTGTACTAGACTCGCTCAATTTCAAGGTAAAATTATACCAGTGATGTAATTCTTAACATAAAAAAATATTGTGAAAATGTTCAAATGGAAATAAATATTTGTCACTTATTTCTTCATAAGGTCAACTTTAAGCATTCGTAAGTAATTTATCTTAAAGTAAACTATTTTTTCATGGAGCTGTCTGCTTATTTTACCATATATTTCCAATAATAAGCTTTTATTGTGTTTTCCCTTTTCTAGTATTTCTAACTACATTTTAGACCCTAATTCCTTAAAATTAATCAATGTTTCTCCTTCCTTTATGACTCGTTGATGCGGTTGCTTGGTCACTGATTATATCACATACAAACTTTATCTTCTCTCTTATGACAAATGTTGTTATAGGCTGAAACAATTCCACCATTTAGATAAAGTATTAAGTCTTTTGTGCAGGTCAACAGCTCTTCCATTTCCCACACCATTATCAGATTGGCTTGCTCCTACAGGGCTGCAGCATTTCTACAATCGGGATAATAATCAAAGTCTATTTCTCATTTTCTGAGTATTGCTGATGAAAAGAATGAATCTTATTCTTTCACACTCGACTATGCAGAAAGGCATTATTCATTTAACTGTTTCAGGAATCACTGAACCATACAGATAAACAGGCTTCTGAATGAGCAGGGATTATTCCACTGTCTCAAGGGATGTGAGGCAGCATTTTATTTGGAGCATTAATTACTTATGGGCATGTTACGTTAGTCTGATGTGTACAGAAACCTAGACTATAAGAAGATTTGACTTGATTAATAGAACCAATTAGTGTATCTAAAAGAAAATTTAAGATTTTGAGTGTAGTCTCTATATATACTACTTGCCAATCCAATTTATCCCAAATTACAAATACATTTGAACATTCCTAATTACAGAAATTTTTAAAGTTATAGGCATAGGCTTTTTTTTTTTTTAAATATAAAAAAGCAGCCCTACAAACAACAGATTTTATTTTATTACAACTATTTTTCCATTTTGTATAAATACATTCATCCTGAGATCCAGAGAAAACCACTCAATTTTCCTTGGTTTGGGTTGAAATCATCCAGTTCTCCCTATATGATATACATGATGGGTATAAATTATAAATTTTCAGGTCAGAGCACTGCCACCTTTGTGGTGTCACATTTTAATCTTGCTAAAGACATGTCCCTGTGTGAATTATGACACTCTGGCTCTAAACAGCCCTTAGGTTCAGAGGCTTCCTCTCCTTTCACTTTTGGCTGATCTTAATCTGGAAACAGAAATCCTACTACAGTATTTGAAGCACAGCTGGGCCCACTAGAGCAGTTATGGATCTGTGCCACATTTTTGATTTTCACTGAATTCAAAGCTCTTTTTTATAAATTATATTTACAGAGGATTTGCTTTATAGGTCATATATGCTTATCCGTCTCAAGCCCACAACTAAGCACAAAAAAAGCTCCTATGTAGAACCCATAGATTATTTTGTCCAAAGGTTTGCTTCTCCTAATTTCTTCTTTAGGGAAATTATGTTTTCCTTTCCAGTTTGCTGGATTCAAAATGTGCAAGTATAAGGAAAAGGTCCTCTCTTAACCATGTTGAATCAACCTGCCCATGGAAACATACTTACAGTGTTTCAACTTGAGAGCATGTACAGGTCAATCAGATGCCAGAAAGGTGGTATTTCCCTGGGAAAAGTAATTCTGGCTCCTATTCATAGGTCATACAACCTTGGTTGTGCTGATTAGCATCAATAGGTATTTTCTGAAGCACAATAGAACTGAATGATGCTGGTGATTTCATTGAAAAAATGACTACCCGATATTTTTTGTACCGATTGGAATATGCTATCTTAAGAGAAGAATCCTAATTTGGGATTAATATCTCTGTACAGGAGGGACTGTGCCACTTAATTGTTTCATTTTCTTGAAAAATACGCCTTAAGTGGTAAAATAAAAAAATCTGTGAGCACAAATCAACCCTTTTTATTCCTTTCCCTATTATGAAGCATATTAATCTTCTGAATTATTGCTAGTAATTATTAAATTACTGGCTAATCACCAAGGAATGATCACCTTACATGCAATAAAATACTAATTTTCTCAGAGTCATTGATTAAGTTTGACCATCACACTCTTACAGAAATTTCATCAGAGCAATGTTTTCCTCTTCAGGAAGACATTTCATTACCATGCAAATACAAGTGCCTCTGAGCAGGCTAATTGGTAAATGTGACATGTAACATGCAAACCATGGTATTAAGTCACTCCACAATTTATAAAGAAAGTACAATTCAAATTTGACATTGTTTTTTTGAGATCTGGTATTTACATGTGTCAGAATGGTGGGTGGATGTCTATTACATGTGCAAAGATTAGGAAGAATAGTTGTGTAAGATACTGTGCCTCATCAACAAAGAAAATGCATTTAAAGGAAATGCACTTGGTAATTAGATTAATAATGGACAATTAATTTGATAGAAGGAGGCAGCCTATTTGAAAGTAACAGAAGTACATAATGTAATCAAAGCACATTTGGACCAATTACTCACATTTGTTTATTTATTTAAAGGCATGATGTATGCACAGCTTATCACTACCTTTTACTATTTTTTTCGAAGAGGCTGTAATATTCAGCAGGCCAGAAGAACACTCAAAAGGACCACCCATCTACTTCGAAGAACACAGGTGGCCACTAAGCAGTTCAGGCTACTACAAATTCAGTTTCAAACACACCATCTCAGGAACACGACAGGATGGGACAAAACCAGACACCCAAGTGTATCAGAAAGGATGCTATCAGCATCTGCAAAACAGGCTTCAAGCTTAACACACATGAAAAATCCACTCAAACATGCAATTTTGGCATGTGAATACAAACGTAACATTTAACACACACAGCAGCCAAACAGCCAAGAACTGGGTCTTTCATTACCATGAAGCTCATGTAAACCTCAAACATGCAATTTTGGCATGTGAATACAAACTTAACATTTAACACACACAGCAGTCAAACAGCCAAGAACTGGGCCTTTCATTACCATGAAGCTCATGTAAACCCGCAGTCCCTCTCAAGAGCATGTTAAGGTAGACTAACCTTTCTGATGTGCAGCCATTTCTCTTCAGGGACTAAACACAGAGCTACTGCAGCTGGCAGCAGGCAGTCATTGATTTCACACTGTGAAAACACTTTCTCAAGACAACTCTGTTATCAAATGTGGTTATTTACCTGTCGTAGTCTTGGCAAATCTCCCCAACAGCTACCAAAGCTTTCAAGTACTCATTGGGCTGATAGGGGTGGATGTAGTGCAGTGAGCAGCTGTTCCTAGGATCACCATTTGATGCAGTGAAATCTATAGCTACCTGGAAAAGAAGGAAAGTCAATGTGTTGTGGAGCTCTTCTGGGCACAAGTATACCCACACCAATCAAGTATCTTTATCAGAAAGAGTTTTCAATAGACTGCAGCCTTAAAGCAAAGGTCATTTTAAAGTGTATTCCATCATATTTGAATTAGGACAGTATTGATAAACATGTCTAAAGTAAATGACAGCTTATAACATAAGAGATAATAAAATTAACATAGCATAATCAGGAAGAAAATGAACTGCATTATTATTCTATGTAGAAAATCATGTTCTAATACAAATGAATCAAATTAACTATCTCCACGTTCTCATACTTAATGAAATTATTCCAGCTCAGGTGATGTTCAAGACATGAATGCTGTACAGCCAAGAAGTCCCAAGAGAGTTAAAAATCCTACTAAAACTATAAATTAAAACTGCAGTTAGGAACATTTCTTAGCTATTTTAAACCTTACTGTGACTGTTGTAATAGTAATAGATAGTGCCTGTCTTTTACTTTTTGTCTTCAAAATATCTAAGCATTAAATAATTAACCCTCTCGGTTTTGTAGCTGATAGCAAGCTTAAAGGTGAGCTCCAGGGAAGAAAAAAGAAGCTGGAATCCTGCAGAGATTTTTGTGTTGAAAAGCCTTAGAGAAGATTGTGGGAAGCATTCAATGCCAAAGTAAATATTAATGAATCCTCTTAAAATTCATTTCTCCCTTTTAAAATGCTCTTTGTACTTCTCACTGAAGATGCACTCTGGCATGCATCTTCCTGTGAGATGACTGTCATGGATCAGAGAGGTCTCTTCTGAATTTGTGATGCTGCTTTCTAGGAACCCCTAAAAGGGAAGAAACCCAAATGGTCTCATAGAGGAAACAAAGATATTTACAAACTTCCTTACGATTTTGTCCAATGACCTCTTCCTTTAAAAGACCAGTTATACCTGGATATTCCACAGACAAGCACATAGGATTCACGCTTCAGTTTTACAGTGCAGTGGACAGGTAAGGGCCTTGCTGAAGCTGCAAAAAGAACTTTGAAGTCCCAGCTTGCCTCTGCAAATGTGCAGTTTCCCCAGCTAGAACCTCTGCCTGGCACAGAGAAGGCTGTTTTATGCAGCTATAAAATGAAAATGAAACATGATATTTTCATTCTCCCTTAAAAAAAAAGCAGCTCACTCCTTCTGGAACTTATTTTTTGTTGCTAAAAACTAAAAGGGAAAAATTATACTGGGTTAACTTTACGTGGCTTTTTCCCACTGTTTCTGATTTTCCACCTCTAACTCTTATCTTAAGAAAAATACTTTTCACTGGGCTCTACTTAGCTTGGAAATCCCTCTGTCCCCTTGATCAACTATGAAGCCCTAGCACCTAACCACATTTCAGTAGGAACTATGAGCTTGATTTGGCTTCCAAATAAAGTAATCTTTCACCTCTGCTTTCCCACTCACTATTCATGCATGGAAGCAATGAGTCTGTTTTCCACACAGATCTTTTTCCAAAAATGATAGTTTGATTTAACTTGAATAAATCAGTGGGAAATCTCTCATGTTTTCAGTTGTGTGCATGTACTTAACTGAGGAAGAAAATATAGTGGTTTGTGAAACCTGAGGTAAATCCATGGATACTTATATAGATGAGCTCAGTTTTGGGACACTGTTTTAAAAATTCTTAGCCAAGGTGTGCATATTTTCTTTAAAAGATACATATTTTCTCTGATAACATTAGTTTTTTGTTCTGGTTATAGAAAGTGCAGAAATTTCACTGTATGAAAGGGAAATAGAGGGCATTCCTGTAATGTAAAAAAACCCCACTAACAAACAGGGGCTTTCACTGATAATCCTACAGCAGACATTAATGAGGCTGAAGCAACACTTCAGACATACCAGACAAATCTTCCTTCCTGTCTGTGAGCCATGGCTAAATGCTTTTTCACTGAAAGCAAGAGCCCAGTTGTAGGACTAGGTAGTGGGATTTCATGAGCTTGGAAAAAAATTATGTGGCTGGTATTTGGTAAAGTAAAAATCTTTCCCCAAAACAAGCTTCCTTTTAGGAAATGGTCCTTGTAGTAGAGATCTGCTGATAAGCAAAATACACCCTACCTTCCTGTGATGAAGTCTTTATGAATATTTGTACTCAGAGGCACTGTAGCTGACTTTGATCTAAATCTCTGTTTGATTCCCAAGGGATGGACTTTTAAGAAAGATGTTTGCTGCTACTTGCTGCAATTCTAAAATAACAGCTCAGAGCTCTGCTCTATTAGCATTACACAGCAGTATCAAGATCTTGTGCAAATAAGTAGGATAAGGATTTGTAAAACTAACATATCACAGAAGCTACCTAACATCACAAGTGAGCTCATCTTGCAGGGAGCAAGTAGGAATCTTTCTTACAGCACATATATTTGATTTTTATCAGTGTCTTTAAATATGTCAATTCAAAGGTCCCAGTTACCTTCCTACAGCTAATAGGGAACATAACAGCAATAACTACACTCTTACTACTTTTTTTTTCCTCAACCTTGTAAAAGGGTGATAGATTTTCGTTGCACTGAAAACATGCTACGTAGCTTGGATCTCCTGCTAGATCTGTCAGCTACAAATCAGCCTGTCCAGTACCATGACCTGCCTGAGAGAGAATCTGTCCAGTATATCTTTCTATTACAGTTCCTTTTATGCATGTTACACATCCTTTCTGCTGTATTTCCTAAGGTGATGAAAATGTGTTCTGACACATTTTCACACACATTTCAGACACATTTTCACTGCCAACTTCTGACCATTTCTTCTGCAGCAGGGAACACTGCCTGATAAGAGATACAGCATTTTGCAACGGCCAGTGCATAACATTATCAGACTGGAATCAGCAGTATTGATCTCTCTAGATAGAAGCTTCTTAATAAATGGTTTTCAAATAAAGGAAAAGTTTACTTTGGTTTTTTGGAGACACACTTTCTAACTATGTTCCTACAATAGATGTACAAAAAATCCCCAGGACACACAGCAAGAAGTTACCAAAGCCTTCATTAGTGCCTTAAATTAGCAGATACAACATACTACAGCTCTTTGTTATCAAATATATGCTTGGCATCCCCATTTCTCTCCCCCACCAAGTGCTTTTTCAAATCACAGTTGTATTGTACTGCCTGTACACAGCATGAACTCAATAGAAATGTCATTACTATGAAGAC